TGTATTTATATGTATACCTGTAATTCTATCAGAAAGTTAGTGAAAGGAGATGGTGGGATCAAGCAAATAGATTAGCAGGGAGACTTAAGAGAAATAAAAGATCCATCATCTTTGCTTCTTTATTTGTTGGTATAAGAACTGTTTCTTGTATTTTATATATTTAAAAATCAAGCTGAAAATGTTTCAAGAAACATTTAATACTTTCATTTTAGAAATAGAAAAACTAACAAATACAGGTTTGAAACTTATAAATTCCTTATAAAAAAAAGCTTTAGAAAATTAATGATAAATAACTGTTGGCTTTAAATTAAATGCTATTTTGTGTCTCTTTAGTGTTTGTCTCTCTCTCTCTCTCTCTTTATATATATATATATATATATATATATATATATACATACATATATATATATATATATATATATATATATATATATATATATATATATATATATATATATATATATATATATATATATATATATATATATATATATATATCATATATATATATATATATATATACATACATATATATATATATATATATATATATATATATATATATATACATATATATATATATATATATATATATATATATATATATATATATATATGATATATATATATATATATATATATATATATATATATATATATACTGATAATATTAGTAGTGAATATGTATAAATTCCCAAGAGGATAGAATCCAGGTAGAACTTAATGTTCAGGACAGAGTAAGAATATAATATAAAATACCTCCTCTACTTGCTCTTATTGAGCATTGCAACTGTTCTCTTGGTAATTTGGAGCATACTGTAATATTTGTTGATAATTTTCAACTCTCTGATGAATTGGATCATGATTATGATTCCAATGTAATAAATTATAACCATGGAATATTAGTGTTTGAGCCTTTTTAAATTTTATATATATATATATATATATATATATATATATATATATATATATATATATAAATGTTGTGGTAAAACAACAACTCAACTGATAATAGCAGATGGGAAACGCGAGGAGGGTAAACCGACAAAATTGTGTCACATGTCCAACCTTCTCATGAGCAAAAAAAAACAGTGCTCAGAAATAAAAACGCGCCTGCTTTATACAGCCAAGGACTGACCATGATTTGCATGCGAATGACAAGATGAGATTTCGCATTAATTGTCCGAGACCGCCCGGCATAAAACATGGGCGCCACTATTTTGGTTCTATTACCGTTGAGCAACTGGAGTTTGCACGACGCACAGATTCGTGTGCGTTTCTGAGGTAGGCCATTTTCACAATTTTCCCCACAATAAAAAAATTTATCCAGTGTGCCTTTGTAGCAGACTCCATTAGGGGTTGCTTATTTTATTTAGGGAGTGGGGGACTTTGAGTGCCCAGTATTGTTGGGCACTATTTTGCTTTTACCAATATGCTCCTTTGCTGAAGTCCTACTGCTTCCCATGATAATGAGCACTTTCTCAATACACCTGTGAACTTTTTTGATTTTTTTTTTCTTGGCTGGATGGGCATTTTGCCCCCCTCAATGTTATATATATGTATCAACTTCCCTTGTAACATCTTTAACTTGCCATGGAGGTATAAAGTGATCTTTTTCCCAAATAACAGTTGCTTGACCATCTGATGATTGTGTGAAAACACATGAAACTTTTAGTTGTGGTTATTAATTTTTTTTGTGAAATATAAAGGCTTTGCCAGTTAATATATCATTGAGCTCTCTTTCTCTAGTGTACCTCTAGCAAACTCCATTAGGAGCTGCTTATATATATATATATATATATATATATATATATATAAATAGAAGTGAAAACATTCACTACTTATTGAAGGTTGACTAATTTTTGAATCGGGTCATATCAAAATGATTGTATTAATTACAGAAAAACTATTTTGCTAGTGCATGTTTTTATGCTAACATTCAAATTTAAATTTTACAGTTACAACTCTCAATCTCATGAGTTCCTCAGTATAATTGAAAAGCCAAATAATTATAATATATATATATATATATATATATATATATATATATATAAATGGTGTTACAGTTATTAACTCAGAAAATGAAATTACAGGCTGAGTTAAAATCTTGACCAAAGCTGTTTCCTTTACTCTGCATTACTGCCCTTTGGAAAAACATGAAGCCATTTCTTTTCTCCACACCTTTGGGTAACAAAGCTGTTTGTTAAGTCTTTAGTATTATCAGAAGCTTTTCATATCTGAGTATTTAAATATATTTTTCTACTTATTATTGCTGTAATCCACTCATTGTTTTTTCATTGCCTAGTCTTGTTAATATCTTGGAACAGTTCATCAGTGTCATAACAAAACACAGCCAACAGGCATCGCCAGTGCAAGGGAGTTAACTCTAGTATAATAAAAGTTACAAATATTGCAGACTTAAAATAGACACACACATATATATAAATATATATTTTTTTTTTGAATAATTCTTTAGGCCCACCTGATCCTCCAACTGATGTAGATGTTACCTGTCATTCAGACCGAGCCACTATTTTCTGGAAAGAAGGCAAAAATAACTTTTCTCCAATCCAGCAATATATTGTGGAATTCAAGACTTCATTTGATTCAGTTTGGCATGAAGCTGGTCGTACAGATTTTAAAGTTGAAGAATGGGAAACTGAATTAAGCCCTTGGTCAAACTACACATTCCGTGTAAGAGGTGTGAACAATCAAGGTACAGGAGCACCTAGTGAACCTGCTTCGACCATTTGCACCACCAGTCCGGCTGTTCCAGATTCACATCCTGTTAATGTCCGTACACTTTCCAGCAAAAAGAAGTACTTGGTTATTGTGTGGAATGTAAGTCAATCACTTCATTTCTTTGATTTTTTTTTATTGTCATTTATTTTTGTTTTTGATGGCTCACATTGGTGGTGGCAAGAACACTCCTCAAGTGTAACAGGTAAATATGAGACTCGTGTAATAAAATTTGATGTGTGAAGTTAATACTTGCTTAAGGGACGTTTATTAGTTAAAAAACAAGATAATACTTCCTATTGCTATTGTCTTACATTTTGAAGTTAGAAGATACCAAGCTATGACATAGTCATTACTTAAGAAATTATTATAAATGTTTATATACACTTGGTTTGTATATATTTTTATATCTTGTTTTTTGCTTCTACATTTTATCATGTGCCGTGACCATTCAAGATGTGAGTGATCATGACTCTCCACAACCTCCTATCTCTTGTGGCACTTAGCAGAGTGTCTCCCTTTGTGAGCCCCCCCCCCCTCCTTTCATATAGGCTTGTCAGGTTGGTGGCCAACTCTCTTGTTCACAATATGCCCTGTGCGTGTTAAATTTTCCAAGCCCTCCTTCTTTATTATGTGTCTAAGCCATTTCAGCTGTTTTTTTTTTTTTTTTAAGAAGACTAAAAGTGTTCTTTCTGTTGTCATTTTCTTTAGGACTTTGTTGTTGCTTACTTGCTCTGTTCATGGAATTTTCAGTATCCTTCTGTTGAACCACATTTCTGTTGCCTCCGGTTTTCTCTTCATCTATGTCCATCATACAAGAGGATTGTTATCATGTAGCAATTCAGCACTCATTTTTTTTGTCTCTAACAAAATTTTCCTGTTTCATAGTCCTCTATTTATCTTTTGGAATACATTTTTTGACAATTTGATGGGCATTCAAATTTTGGTGCCACATTTTCTATCCTCTGTTAGAACAATTCCCAGATATTTAAACACAGTGCTTGTTTGATGTTGACATTTTCAATTCATAGTTCACATTGTGTGCTTTTTCTCTTTTTTCTTATTTCTGTCTTACAATTGATGGTCAATTTTTTTTTTCTTGTTTTCTTTTACTACCTTGTATAGGAGCTACTATAGTTTTCTTTTTGTGTCTGCCATTAACACAGTGTTGTCTGCATGTTCTACTTTGTTAAGATTGTACCCCACTTAATAATTCCTGGTAGGTTCTCCAGCACCCTCAGGATAGCCTCTCAGTAGAGTTTGAATAGATCTGGACAGAAGGCAAATCTTTGTCTTTTTTTGTATATCTATTCAATTTTGTTTTCTCTCCATATGTAGACAGATTTCTATCAGTATATGTTTTGGATTATTCTAACATCCTTTCTGAATATATTTAGTTTTCCTAACGTTTCAAAGAAAATTGTACTGACAAGAATATATAATTTTTTAAAAATTATTTGTTAGTTTCACTTATGATTTTTGTGTTACCTTTGTTATGTTTTCCAAATAACCAGTTTTGTGATTTCCTGCAGAGTTTCAGCTATCAGTGCGGTTTGGTAATGGTAATATTAACTGTTTCCTTATAAGGAAAATTTTAGCATTCATTGATTGAGCAGCCAGTGCCTCTTTTGGTGAAATTTATAAAATATTTCTCTTAAAAATGTTTTTCAGGAAAATAGGTTTTTCAAGCTCAGTAGCTGTTATTGCTCTTTCCAGTTATTGATGGTGGCTTATTTCCTAATTTTTTTCTTTATTATGTCATTATTTTCTTTTTGAGTTAGATGTGCTATCCATTTTAGTTGTTGCTGTTGTTGAAAGTCTTCAAGTGATGCGGTTGGTGTTTTTCTTTGTTTGTGATTCTGTAGTGCCAGACCACATTGTTCAAAAAAGGATGGTCCTGTCTCAGACCAACAGATTTCATTTGTTCAAAGCCATTTTTAACTATTGGTCTGATAAAATGGTTGTATACAGACAACAGTTTAGATATTTCTGAACAAGTTTAGAACCATCTATGATATCTATATGAAAGTCTTGATCTAATAAGGCTATTTAAAAACATGACTTGAATTTTTAGGTTAATGTTTTGGGTTTGTAACAAATTGTGGTGTTGGGTGAAATTACCTCTAACACAGCTATGTTTAATTTCCTTATCATCTGTACTAAATTTGTTATAACTGATCCATACACTGAGGTTTTTCTTCTTTTTAGAACCAAGTGAAATTTAAATAAAAATCTGAATTCAATATTATGCTTTGTACCTTTAGTTAGCTTAAAAGATGATGCCATTTTCATCTGATGATACAAAAATATAATAGTGTCAAAAATGCAAATATTTATTGCTCAATTTTTTATTTATTTCTTTTTTTGGGGGTGTTCTATTTATTTTTTGTTTCTATTTTCAGAAAATGTCTCCACTTAATTTCAATGGTCCTGGTTTTCGATATGAGGTAACAGTTGAAAAAGAAGGCATCAAAACTCTTAAATATGATGTTGATGGCAGTGAGCCTGCAAGGAAGGAAATTCACACCAAGACAGTCTATGAACCTTATACTATTTCTGTTCGAGCAAGAAATGATCTTGGCTATGCCCTAGGTGAACCAAATGAAATCATAGGATATTCGGGTGAAGATAGTAAGTAATTCAGAACTTTCTGACTTAAATATACTCAAAATGTTTTATTTCATGTTCCAGATAAATGTATTTTCAAATTAATAAACAATAAGTATGATTTAAGATTTATTTTTAGAGCTATCGTTCTTTTTCTGCAATCTCTAATACAATGTCTGAAAAGTACTTAAGAGTTTGGTTTGTGTGAAATACAAGTAGAATCGGGGGTGGGTAAAGTCTTTGTAGTACATTGCGAAGCAGCCAATTAAAATAATTTACCGAGTTATTAACCATTGGAATTATTTTTTACTGCTCTTATAACATGTTACTAAAAACTTTCACCATTCAGAGAATCATCTGTGCATACTTTGTTGCTGTTTGACTGCAACTTTGCAAGTAAAGTCCTGGATGGATTTAAATTTCTTTTATCTACTTTACACCTTTGTAGTTTTTCTTGAGAGATTGGAAGACAAACTAACAATGGGACTCTGAAAGCCTTTAATTAAATAGGGTTGCAGTTGTATGTATATAAGTAATGTATGTGTGTATGTATATAGGTAATGTATGTGTGTATGTAACCACTAATAAGACAATCATGCCACCTGATAATCCTTGAAGATTGCTAGTTCATTAATTAGATATAATAGTATAAGATCTGTTGATTCGTTCTCAGAAATGTATCTTGGTAATATGCCTTAAATGGTAGTGATGTTTTGAGTCATTTTTAAGTTGTACAATTGCATTTATACATTTAATAATTTAATATTCTTATTAATTATGAATCAGAGTTTCTCTTGCTGCATCACTTGATTTTTTTTTAATTATATAATCATATAATAATAATAATAATATGTATAAAATAATGATAATAACTAGACATAAATACAAGCATAAGGGGTGTTCCAATAACTTGGACCGATTTTAAATGTGAATTAAGTGTCTAATGATTTTTTTTTCTTTTTCTTTCAAATTTAACAACTTAAGTCTTTGATAATTTCAACCATGGAAAAATTAACAATCAAACAATGTATTAAAATTTCAAGAGTGCAATTGGAAAAAGTGTTCATAAATTCAAATAAACTGGCAGATGTGAAAACACCATTGCATGCATGTTTACGCTGTTCAGCTGAAAAACATTGCTGGAGTGCCCAAGAATGTGGCCAAAAATCTAGACATCTCTATTCGTCATCGCATGCAGGAATTGAACCTCTTCACAACAATGTTAAATCATTTCCAATTGCACTCTCGGTTAGTCGATTTTGTTGACCAAAAACATCGTGAAGTGTGCAAAATACATTTTGGTTTGAACGTCCATTTTCATAATAGGCTTCAATAACTTTGTTGTTTGATTGTTAATCTTTGTATGGTTGAAATTGCCAAAGACTTAAGTTGTTAAATTTGAAAGAAAAATATCATTAGATGCTTAAACTTAATTAACATTTAAAATCTGTCCAAGTTGTTGGAACACCCTTTATAAGTATTTTCAGTCAGTCTTGGAGGCAGTTATCTTATTTATTTTGAAGACATAACCCACTAATAATTTGAATTCATAACAAATGATGAAGTATGAGATTTTGTGAGGCTATTTGTTTTTAATCAGCTTTTCTGATGTAAAAAAGCTTACAAAAGTATGAAAGACTATTGATATAAATAGTTGTTATTATTATTATAAGTAGTAATAGTATTAGTATTAATTAACAAGTTTTTCCATTTCATTAAAGCAGATGAGTGTTATCACCTGCACTGTCTTGTCTTCTCTTTCTGAAACCAAACAGAATCACTGATATGTCTTTTCCATCTTTCCTTGCAATCGAAATAAAATAGTCCATTATTTATGAGGTACTGACAGGATGTAAGGTATGTAAATGTAACTGATGGCTGATCTCAATGAAAAAGGTTCACACTTGATACTGATGTTACCCTTTTATTCAGGAAATACACCAGTGAAAACTAGAAACAAATAAAGGGAAAATGGATAAACAAAATACATTTCAAAGAAAAATACAAAGAAGGAAAACATTTTTCAGACAGAATCAATAACAATTTGAAACAAACTGAAAATCATAAATGGTGTCATAGAAGAGAATTTCAGACTTAGCTGTGGGAAACAGATAATAATAGTATTGCCTCTTTGACAGCACTGTGGGCAGTAGCTAAAGAACATGTGATAGTTTCTTTAGTCTTAAGGAGTCACATGGTAGCAGACTTGCAAAAATTACAATTAATTTGTGTGTGTGTGTGTGTGTGTGTGTGTGTGATAAATGATTATTTTTATATTTTTACAGAACCTTAAAAATTATTGCCATAATTTTAACCTTATTACTACTGCTACTATGTTACTACCAAGTAGTAAAGTCTTTAAGTCTGGGAATGTATATACCAGTCCCTTCAGTGGCTATTACACTAACAACTAGAATTATAATATGATCATATCAGTATTGATTTTTCTTTACTGAATTTTAAGATTTGAAGAAAAACACTTAAAAATCTGACGAAAATTTAGTTTTGCTTTTCATTCATTCCGTCCTTCATTTATTTATTTAGTTAGCACATTTTGAGCCACTGTAGTCACCACTCCTACTATTTCTGTTGTAATCATGGTTCATGGTGACATTCAAGGCAAAATAGTGCAATGGCTTGTTGGTTCCTTTTGAGGCTACCTCGTACTTACTCTCAGAAGTTCCTCTGCCCACTGGTAAAACCGTTGACCACTGAGGTGCAGCTCCTATGCCCAGGCTGTCAACTACCTGATGGCCACTTGGCACAGGTGGGTTGTGGAGAGACGTTTCCCTTCAGTGGTTGGGTTGGGAAACCTTTCCAACTACTCACACACAGTTTAGCCAGCAGTTCGATAACATTGACTGGGGTGTGGTCGTTACAGTGTCCATGTGACTTATTGAGGTCATGTGTGAGAGATGGATGTAGTCTCTGTACCAGTACAGTTCCACATCTCAATTCACTTGAGTAAAGCAGAGTTGACTGCTTTGCTGCAAATATGCTACCTCTGATGATACACACATAAAGTTTTGCTTTAAGAACATGAAATGAGTTTCTATAATTATTTTTATGATAAACTTGTTATTTTAATACCATTTTTTAATTTTCTACTTTCTTTTTTTTTTTTTATAGCTCCAACAGAAGCTCCAACAGGATTTGAACTCAATCCTGATCATAAACTAACTGCAAAATCTGCAAGCTTTAGATGGAATCCTGTGTCAACAACTCCTGACAAGATTAAAGGTGTTTTCAAAGGCTACAGGGTAAGTAATAGTTGTATTCACCTTTCCCTATACACTTAACTAGTCTTAAAAAAAAAAAAAAAAAGAATATATTTATAGGTACCTCACTATGTTGGTGAGCATTTTTTTTGTTATACCTCTGGAATTGCTTATTTTTGTTTTCTTCAGATAGACTTTCTTACAAAGTAATAAAATAATGTTCTGTTGCATTTACTTGAACTCTGTGTGTCATGTTATTGTGTAATAAAAAATTGTACTTATCTGCTTTCATATTTACAAAAAATGTTCCACTTTACAGCAGTTAAAACATTGATTTAAATAATTTATATAATGAAAAATAAATTTGTGATTTTCTATTTTTGTCCAATAATTCTTTACATTTTTATCAGTTACTTTTAAGATCCTATTTACTTACCTATTTAAACTCAAAATATTTATATATTATTAATACCTAGATTATTTTTTTTATCCAGTATTTTGTAGGTTAGATGAAATCATCTTTATTCTAAATGCAACCTTTACTTCATCAGTAGATATAATTTGACTTTTAAGTATTGTCTGAAATTCTGATGAAGATATTAATATTATTGCTATTCTATGAATTATTTGAACCCGCATTCCTGTTTTTGTAGTTTGAATCAAATTGACCAAACCATTATGACTGAACTAAATAAAATTACTGTTTTTTAATAAAATACTTTACAACTTATATGGTTACTGTTTAAATTAGGTTTCCAAAAATATTCTTATCTCTTCAAAAGGACTATGTGATTTACATTGTATTTAAAAGCAAATCCAGACTCATGTCAAAATTGCTATTATAATGAGAAATTAGAAAATCCATATCTGTTATAGTGAATTAAACCTTGTTTGTTAGGAAAGAACAAATGAAGTTACTCTCTTACAAAATCTAATGTTTAACAGTGTTTACTAGTCATGTTTTATCAGTATTTATTTACTATTTTAATATTTGAATGTATAACACCCCCCCACAAAAAAAAAATCACTTGAAAAATAGCTGGATTACCCAATTTGAAATTCTCCTTCTTCTATGTGCCATGTTCCTTCAGGACATTGGTGACCATGGCTCTCCACAATTTCCTTTGTAACTCTTAATAAATTTTGTCATCATTCCTAAACATTGTTCTGCCATCCATTTACTCAAGCTTGCTGGGTAGGTTAGCATTATTTTCTTCTATCTCGCTTGTCTTCAATCTGTCCTGTAAGTATCAAATTTTCCAAACCTTCTTTCCTCATTATGTGCCTTAGAACTTTTGACTATCTCTTCCTGATTTTAAGTACAAATGTCCGTTTTGTTTCCATTTTCTCTAAAATTTTGTTTTTGCTCACATGTTTGGTCCAGGGTATTCTCAGCATCCTCCTGTAGAACCATATTTCTGTTACTTCAAGTCTCTTCTTCACTGCCATATAAGAGAACTGATATTATTACTGAGCATAAAAATCATTTTTTTCCTTTCAGATTTTGTTCTGGAAACGTGGTCACAAAGAAACCTCTTTGAAAAAGATTGATATTCAGAAAGATGAAACAGGAAGGAGACGCCGAAGTACTAAAAAAATTGAAGCTACAGTAAATCTTCCAGCTTTCTCAGAACTTAGTTTATCTGTTGTAGCAAGAAACACATATTATGAAGGACCTGAAAGTAATGTCATTGATGTAAATACACCTGAAGGAGGTAAGTAATTGTGTTACCATTTTTAATTTTATTTCTCAAATATAATTATTTTTAAAAGGAATTTTATCATAACTAATATCTACTTTACAGAAACTGTTATTAATAACAAAAAATATCTAACATATATAGGGGAATACAAGTTAGCTTTTTAATTTTTAAGCATAAAACCTCTGAAAATTTGGTCAACCGGTATGCTGATCATAAAGTTGCTGAAAGATGAAAATAAGACTACAGCATATAAAAGAGGGAAATGATATCATTACTAGTGTTCTGATATTAACTTTTATGAGAATTCAAAGATTTTCTAGTAAATACTCCTTAACTATTGTTGCTCAGACATATTTTTATTCTTAGTTAATTATAAATAATACTTAAAGCAAGAATTTTTTTATTTTTGTATTTCAAAAGGAGTTTGTTAAACATTTCATTTAGTCATTATGAGTTCAGTTCTTAGATGTTTTACACTGACATGAAGTGAAAAGATTATATTGAATCAATTGCTAGGTTTGCTGCTGGGAAAGTTGGTTCACTATGTTGTGTGAGACAGTTTTTCTCCCTTAAATCTATCTTACACATTTATAAGTTTATCATTGATCCATACTTATTGCTGTCACTTCTAGTCTGGTGCTTCTGCTATTTATTTAGATATTCTTGATAAAATACAAAGAAGAATCTTCAATGTTATTGGTCCTGACCTTGTATCTTGGCTTCTGTTATTTTCTCACTGCCATATCATAGCTTCTCTGTGCCTTTTCTATAAATATTTTCATGGTAATTGTTTTGATGTTGACCAATTTGATAGATGGTACAATTTGGATGACAAGAAATTAAAAATAGAGCTAATTATGTTATGTTTGCATTGAAAAATAAAGTCACAATTTGATTGGCTTTATAACTTTTCCATGTCATTAAATTAGCTATCGTTTATAAGTTAAAGTTATTGACTTTGTTATGCAGTCAAATAGAATTTATATAACTTCTAATTGAATGGCTTAATCCACATATGATTATGTTTGTATACAAGAAATCTGCTAGACTTGTTTTATCAAATCTGAATATCAGATCAGAGGGTGTGTATTTTTACTTGCTTTGCTTGTCCATTGTTTAAGTAATATATAATTTTTAAAAAAAGATACTTTAAGAGGTCTGGATCTTGATTCTTATTACTCAAAAATTCCATTTTTAATTAATGACTATTTAGCAGTCACAAATGTGAGTGAGAGGAATTGAAAGAAATAAAGAATTCATGTTTATATTTTTTTCTGTTTATATGTGAATGACAACTGATTTTATTTATTAATTCTTTGTATTTTTCATGTTTATGTATTTACTTTCTTTATTCTTTCAGTTCCTGGCAGAGTTCGTTCCTTTACAGCTTTAATTCGTGGATCTGGCCATTTTCATTTGAAATGGGAACCACCTGAAAAGAAAAACGGCATTTTGATTGGATATGACATCGGTTTTCAAAAAAGTAAGTTATTTTCAATACCAAAAACCATAAAATGAAATAATCTTTGTAAAGGTCCTTCTTTATTTACTAATATGAAATGTCTGGAACAATGGCTACTATTTTATGAGCAAAATGAAATAGTGTAGAATAATAAGGACTGACTTAGTCTTTAAGCTTATTCATTAAGAAACCATTTGCTATAATAATATCAGTGTAATAATTCATTAATTAATTATCAATGCATTCTTTTTTCAATTTTAACTTCTGAATATTTAATATTTAAAATTAGTTCATTTATCATAATTACAGAAAATTATTACAAAACATACTTTCATGAAATATATAAAATAGAAGCTGTAAAAAGTGATCTTTTAAAGAAATCCTTTGGAAATATAACCACCTTATATAATATGCTTGCTCACTTATGTTGGTTCCAATTACTGGGAATGACTGCAAAAACTTCCATTTCACCAAATTAATAGACAAAAAACATAGATGGATGCTGGGATTTCTTCCTAGCCAATAAAATAAGCCATTTCTCAGTCTCATCTGACTCCGTAACGGTCTTTCTTGTCTTGAAGCTAGAAAGCTACAATCGCTTATCTATATTCCCTTTTGTGTGTTAACACCATTCTTTGTTTGTGAACTTTTTGCCTTATTGCTGTTGCTTTGCCTTGAATATATTGTTTTTGCTCTGTTATTTTATTTTCTTTATCTTGTAATTGTTTATTGCAAACTTTAATTCTGTTTAAGTATTTCTGCCAGTTACATTTGATCTTGGCCAATTATTCTACAACTTAAATTTAAATAATTGAAAATCACCAATCACCGGGAAGGGTATGAGTTCAAATCTTTTTTTTCTGATTGATACTGTCTACTCACTATCATAGAATTGATAGTTTGAATAAAGTTGTGATAAAAACTGCAAGTAAACATTAAGCTGAAAGTAAAAGATTAGTCAAAATGTTATAGATGAAAAATTTTGATACTGTTATAGAAAATGAAGCAATATATATATATATATATATATATATATATATATATATATATATTGTTGTATGAAGAATTAAAAAAAAAATTATTTAAAGGATTCTGAAAACAAAAAGAAATATTAAGTTGGAACAAATGTTTATACCATTTTTTAAGTGAATTTCAAAGACAACATTTAGATATTTGTACATTGATTTATTTAACCATATTATGAGCCATTTTGTTTCACTACCTTTTGCTATCTTTGAGGCAACTTCATGATTCCATCTTCCTAGAACTTGGTATCTTCCTGGGTAGTGAACTGTCCTAAGTGGTTTTTACAGGTTTCTAGGAATTTTAAGTTCTTTGCATTAATAGAAATTTGTAGAGATCAAAATAAATGGTAATCTGAAGATGCAAGCTCAGGTGAGTGTTATGGGACCTTACCCATAATAACATAATGGACTATTCCATACATAATAAATACTGCGCCTCAAGAAGAAGCAAGGAGTTCAGTCTGAAGTCTGGAGTGAAGTCCGCTAGAAGTCTGTCAGTCAGTCAGAGCGAGCGAGTCAGTCAGTCGAGTCAGAGGCAGTCTGAAACAGAGTCGCGTTCAGACAATTACTACTAAACCTGATTGTTCGTACTAACACTTTCTACTTCTCTGTATATATTCCTGTTTGTAATATATCTGTGTTATTCATATACGTGTTTGAGTTCTTCTTTATTGGTTCTATCTTGGACTATCACCATGGTACAAGGAACTGGACCATAACAGTGAGTATGGTCGGTGTAGTAGGACATCCCAACCAACCAGGTCTGATAAGAGACACAAGGTTTAGCATTATCTCAGTGGAAGACAACACCTTTCTGATTGGCCAATACTGAATGATTTTCATCAATTGCTGTCTTTTATTGGTAAACCACATCACTTGAGGACTACCAACAGTAGCAACAACTAAAATGGATAACGTGTAACCCAAAGAGAAAATAATGACATAATCAAGATGTTAACATTCCACACTACTTCAAACCCTCGTCGATACTGGAAAGAGCAATAACAGCTACTTGAGAAACCTGTTTTCCTGAAAAAGTTTTTTTAGAGAAAGATTTTATTGATTTTAACTGAAAACAGTACTGGCTGCTCAGTCAATGAATGTCAAATGTTTCCTTATAGGGAAATGGCTAATATTACCATTACCAATATAGTTAAAGAGTTGAACAAAATAAGACTTTTAGTATATGTATATATGAAGGTCTATAAATATTTATATCATTATCTTGTTTCCTTGCAGTAAATGGTTTGAAATTGTCCCCAATGAAATATGAAAGTGAACAAATAAGGGACCCAACAAGTACCCAGCACATGTTACGAGGCTTAGATCACAGTACAAATTACAGAGTCCATATTTGGCCCGTAACTCGCGCTGGGCGAGGAGAAGGCTATTTTATTGATGTTTGGACTACAGATGCTGGAAGTAAGTTCTGTTTCATTCATTCCAATTATATTCATTCATTCTTCTTTTTGATATTTATTTAATTTTATTTTTTTGTTTTTCTTTTATTCTTTCTTAAGGTTATTTTCTCCTTCCTTAAAATTTTTTTTATTTTTCTTGTAAACATTCTATTTTATTATATTTTATACTTAGCAGTTTTCTTTTTTTGTTTATTTTCTCTAAAGTTATTCATTTTTTTTCTTCCTTTTTTTCTTTTTCTTGTTTTAAACTTTACCATTATCACTTTTCTTAAATATAGAAACTATTCTGTCATATTATAAATTACTCAATACTTTTTTGTTCCTTTGTCTTCTTTGTATAATAATATTGGTACTTTTTCAGGTGATTATATTTTCAGTCAAGACCAATATAAAAAAGTTTAAAAATCACATCATGAATATTGCATATAAAAACGTTTCAGTACAAGAGGAATTAATGCTTTAAATATTGATTTAATACAAATATAATAGTTTATTTGTTGAGATGCACATTAGTGTATATATTTTCTTGTACCACATTTTTAATAACAAATAGTCAATTTGATTTGAATAAGACCATTACATTGACTATTACAGAAAAAGATTCATTGCTGAGCTCTTATAGATTAAACTTTTTGATTAAATAAATCCATCAGTAAAAAAAAAAACATAAATCTTGGCTAATGCTATTTAGTAACTCATATAAAGAGTTTGCTAACTGTGTCTTTATTTCTGCTTGTTGTTAAAATCTAATTTTCTTTTTTCAGTGCCTATTGTACCTAATTGGGATATAATTGCAATGGGTAACAATTCTCTCAATGTAACCTGGGAAATAGACTACAACAAGACTAATCAACATGTAGCCTTGATGCATGTCGTAGAATACAGGAAACTGGGTGAGTTATATTGTTATTGCTTTGATCAGTCTGAATCAATCATTCCTTGAAGAGTGTTGTAAAAAGTGAAAATTAAACTGAACAGTTTCATTATTTTTCTGAGCAGGACCAAAAATTGACAAAATATAAATAAAATTTAATTTATTTACAACTTTTGGATATTATTTTTATTTTTTTATTTATTTATTGGAGCTTTGCAGATGTAACTTCATTTGTATATAGATAACATATGATTTTTAAAAAATTTTTGTCTACAATTTTAAAATGTTATTACTTAGAGAACATTTGAAGTTATAGTAAGAATATCAAGCTAGAGTTGTTGAATAACCATTTCTTTTATATTAGTAATTTTCAACATTTAATTTTGGCAAGGAAAGAGGGAACTATCCATTTGTTTCTGTCCTTGGTTATGCATCTTTCTAATTAATATATATTTACTTCTCCCTCTCAAACCATCCATATCATTTTATCTGTGTTTTGTAAAGTTACAAACTCACACAGAGATATATAATTGAACATTTGATATATACAATTATTCAATTTTTTCTTATAATTTTCTGAAAAGGTGTATCAATCGTTTTGGGTAGTAGTCTTATCATGTTATCCAGATGACCATCATTTCACCCCCCAAATAATGACCATTTTTCATGACATGATGAAAAATCTCTTAATATATTTGAATATCAAGTCTCCTTTGTTAGTGAATATTTGCACAAGAGTACTTATGGTAATACTGTATGGCTAATGTGTTACATTTATACACATTATGGCTAAATGTTGTATAAAAATTCCTTTCATAGATTTTCATTGTCACATTCAAATGCTCTCAAATTATTTTAATTATTTGTTTTACTGATAAAATTGCTATTCTTCCATATTAGTTTAGTTTATAGGGAATTACTAACTCATTTTTGTATATAATTTTTTAAATTTTTTTCTTTAAATTTTGTTTTTTTTTATACCACTGAATCATTTCATCCTCTACCCTCAATATAACAAATGTTTATAATAAGAATAATATTTTTAAATGTAAAGTTTTCATCAAGAAACTATAGTACTATGCTTGCACTGTGAAAGTGGTATTGTGATAAAAAGGAAAATATTCTGTTACTGAGACAGTGAAAGCATTAAAAAAAAAATATTGCATGTAAAATTATTGGAAATGAATGTTGTGCTAGATTTACGCACTATCAGTTAAGATTTGCCCCAAATTCTAAGAACTTTTGTCTAAGTTGGCAGAGTTCAATTGTTAAACTCTCTATTTGTCTCTCTCACACACACACAGTAAAATATTCTATTTTACCATTTCAGGAGAAAGTGATTCTCAAAAAACACCACCTCAAATCATCAACCGATGGCAAAATGTATCCAATTTATCTGCAGGAATTACTTATGAAATCAGAGTAGTTGCAAAGAGCGGAAATTACCAAGCAGCCAGTAATTGGAAGAAAGTCACTCTTCCCAGTCTTCGTGAGTTCTATTTATATTGTTTTGTACAGACATTTGTTAATCACTCATATCTTTCATTTAAGATCCTTTCATCCTCTCTTCATTTCAATCAAAAAACATCAATCACTTGTAATTAAGAAGAAAATATGATAGATAGAGCCAAACTCTTTGAATAAATGAATTTATTAAGTTTCAAAGTTATGTACATCTTGGACATTTTGTGAATTTAATGAATGTTTCTTCTGTTGTTCTACATCAGCTAGGAAACTTACGCTGTATGGAAAGAAAAAAAGCTTGCTATTTTATCCATGTGCGTTTAGAAGAAAAAATACAAATCAAAGTTATAGATAATATTAAATATTTTCTATTTAAAAAACTATATAGAAGACAAAAGATTTCAAATCTAGCTGTTTTGATGAAAAATCATTTCAGCAAAATGGTTCACTAGTGATTCAAATATAAATCATTACAAATTTATCTTCACAAATTACCTACTTTTATGTAATAGAATAAAGTTTTACTTCAAGAGGTTCTCAGTAAAGAATAGATTTGATTTTTTACTCTTGATTCAGTAAACTTTTTGTTTATTCTCTCTCGCAAATGATAACTTTAGTATATTCTTTAATAAAAAGCTGAGATAAAAAATGTCTTGTGTAAATGCATTAAGTATATGAAGATAGCAGGATATCTTCAGAATTTTGTAAAATGTTTCTCTTTTGGGTATTTTGTATTAATTTAGTTTGTGGTTCATCACAATAGATGCACTTTTTATAACTTTAGAAAATATTTATTGGCCAGGATCACTACTAACAAACAAAGGCTAAGAGAAAATAGCACAAAATAAAGTGAAACCATAATTTAAGATGAACCAAAGCCTGTTCTAATTTTTCAATTAAAGTTATTTATCCTGTAATCTTGTTCACAAAATATCACTGTTGATATTCAGATGACAGTATTTTTATTAGAAAAGGCTGTGAATTGAATCTATTATAATCTAGGTGCCTTAGACAGTGGCAGAGTCACTATAAAACTAATGAAGCTTAAGCTTCAGGGCCCCTAATTTTAGAAGTGATGTAATGAATATGCATACACCTAGGTTCCCCCTCACAGTAATATGATTGTCTGGTGTCAGCCATAAATACAGACTGATGTGAAGGTACAAGGATGCCTATTGACTACTTCTATGACAAGGACTAGTCCATTACAGATACATGCTAGATTGTCCTAACTGGTTACAATAGTCCAAAACCACTTTGCTACTTCAAACAAATATATCCCTTTCTGGGACATATCAAGAAGGGCTCCTGAAACAGCTTTTGTAATGAGTGACAACAAAATCAATACTTTTTAAAAAAAATGTGTTTGTTATTAAAATGAGGCCATTTTTCATTATAGAATCATAGTTTGAAGTAGCTAATGTTGGCCTTAGAATATGTGCTAAAGCCCATTTCCTATGTCCTCAAAATTCCCCTGCAATTGGTCAAATTTAAAAATTTTGGGTGGAGGGGTGCTTTCAGTGCCAAAATCCCCACCTGTATGGGTATCTTTAACTCAACAGAATCTATTCATCACCTACATTTTGGCAGTTAAATCCTCAAATCTATTGTTGCTAGTTGCGAATGGGCTACCATATCAGTTTAAGCTTCAGGGCCCCAAAAATGTAGGTGCACATTGGCCTTAGTCTTTCAATGACAAAGCAAGCTTGAAGGATCTAAAGGATATGTTTTTGAGATTTCTTTTATAGGGAAATTTTAAGATCTTCAAACTAGAATTTGAAGTTATTTTTTGTCAAGATTTTATAATATTCCATATCATTTGACTATGAAACAAATCTAAATGGATGCATTGGTTTAGGCAGACAAAATTCACTATAAAATTACTAGTGATATGATTTACCTATAAGCATAGAAATAAATAAAAATTCATACTTGTAACTGGAAAAAAATTGCATATTGATTTGTGCCAGAGAAACAAAACAAATAAAATCAGGGAAGAATTTTTCTGTGAATTTTAAAGTTTCTTGATATAAATAGATTTCTTGCTCTTTTAAAAAGTTTTGCTTTAAATGAACGATTTCTGAATCATTGTGAAAAATACCAAAGGAAGTCATGGCTCTAATATACTCAAGGCTAATATACAGTAAAATGTACCTTTCTTACTTAAAGATGAATTCTTTTTTTAATCATTTCACCCCAAGCTAGGTCATACATATATATATTATGCTTTTAAATTCCTTGAGGAACATAGGGTCACATGATATCATTGTGGTTTCTGTATCAAGCCAGTTTTTTTTAAGTGACTAGCTTGTTAGCCTTCTGCACAACCCCCAACCTGGAGGATAGGTTTTGAATTCAGAGTTGTCCTTCTCTTAGACCAGTTGCTGCCCAAGGCTATAGAACCTGGTCTGTCCTGCTATTTACCTATAGCTGGGGAAGAAGAAGAGGATTCATACCTTTCCCAAGGGTATTAGAATGTAAGTAAATGTAATGGATCTGACTGGAATTCAAACTTGGTTCTCTGATTCCTCATTCTGAGCTGTTATCCATTACTCCACTATACCTCTTAAGCAAGGTGATAATGCCACTAAAATGCAAAGGGGGCTACTGGGAATGAAAAGTTTGCTTAATTTTTTTTAGCGACATTGCTATGATCAAGAGATTAAATATTTTAATTTGAATATTTATTCAGTGAATTTCTGGAAATATTTATTTTAAATGAAGTTATTTGTTTTATTGAATGTTTCATTTAAGTAAATTTATTTACCAAATGAAACCTATTTCAATTAATAATATATAGTGTAGAACTGTATATAAGAATTTTTGTTTGTCTAGAAGATTTTCCTCAAGTATAGACAACTTAGAATTGTTAGTCTGAATAATGTAAACAGCTTTTTAAGATTTCAAGTGTTGTCTCACCCACTACCTTGTTACTTGACTCAGATTTTTACCTGTTTTAAAGCAATATTTTGACTGATTTAATTTTCAGCACCTCCTGTGCATACTATCAGCAAAGGTAAGAGTGATCTCCACATGCGGTATTTTCTTGTTGCATTGGGCAGTAGGGTATTCTTTCTGTCAGCTGACGGACTTTACATAGTTTATTTTTCTTGTTTGGCTTCAACCTAACAAATCTGTGCTTCTTTATTTAATTTCTTTATTTTAACACAACTACGTCATTTTTTTGCTGGGTTGAAAAATAAGTTTTGGTAGTAATTTTTAACATCATAGAAAATATTCATTAATTCATTCATTTATTCTGTTAGCACATTTTGTGCCACTGTGGTCACCATTTCCCTTCATCTCACAATTGTGGTTCATGATTCATGACATTCAAGGCAGAATAATGCAATGGCTTGCTGGTTCCTTTTGCACTGGGGATGTTGAGGCTACCCTGTCCCTCCTCTCAGAAGTTAAAGTAGCAAGATCTACAAAGCAGCAGGTGGTTTGAATTTGAAATTTTCCTTCTCTTAGGGTGGAAATGGCATATGGAGGCTGCGTGCTGCCCAGACTACATGGCCCCCACTCTTGGTCCTACTGACAAGATCCAAAGGAATACAGAGCATTACATGTGGAGACAGCTCGACTGCAGTAGTTGCCAGAAAATTGTTAGGGTTGACAGCCAACTTGCCATCAGGGTTCCACTCTGGGTTTTCTGTCTGGATTTACTTCCATAGCCTTTTCTCTGTTTTCTTTTCTTGGGCTGTAGAGTTCCATCTACTAGGAGCAGCTGGTTATGAGATGCCAGTTTTCCACATTTGTCCTTCATCCAAAGGAGCTGAACTTAGTTGCCAGAGGCAAATTGAGACGTATGCCACAGAAGTATTTTATAAACAGTAGGAGCATTTCCCCTCTATAACCATGGCTATGACAACCTTTGAAACATAATGTTTGTATATAAACATTATGTGTTTTAGATGCTCAAAAAAAAACACTAGAAAGCATACAAATTATGAAATAATACATAAACAAACACAACTATTGAAAAGTTTGTTAATTGATTTAAGCCTAAAATACTCGGAGATTATGAAGTCATCATTTAATATATGATAAAATCATTTATACTTCCTTTTTGACAGTCAGTCAGTCAGTCAGTTATATGCCATGCATGATACATGTTTAGGCAATCATGTATCTTTCGATAGATGGCTGACGAGATAGATAGTTTTCCACAGTAGGTTGCCATTTCTTTCTGTGGTAGACGAGTTGCCATCCAAGGCTATAGAACCAGGTCTGTTCTGCTACTTACCCATAGCTGAGTGTGGGGAGAAGAAAAGAATTCATACTTTTCCCAAGGGTATTAGCACATAAATGAATGTAATGGATTTGACTGGAATTTGAACTTGGCTCTCCAATTCCTCAATCTGAGCCACTATCCATTACTCCAAACACCTAACCTATTAATTGATAAAAATAAACGAGAGTAGAAAATGAAAATTTGATAAATGTAACTTTAGGTAAGTAAAAACAGAAAGTAAAAATTTAAAAAAAAAAACAATTTTCAGGTACAAAAACAAATAAATACTAATACAGAAAAACCCAGTAACTGGAAAAAGTTGAAAGAAATAATAATAAACAATACATATATAACTACAAATAAAATATAATGATTATATATATATATATATATAAAATAAATAATAATTGCAAATTATATTAAATTATTATATTACTTAAAAAAAAAAATGAAGCAACATTTACATTTTTCAGTTAAACTTAAAATTTTTTGAGCTTTGACATTGCATCATCTTTCTTTGAGTTTAGAATGTCTCATAAATATTTATTAGATAACCATACTGAGTAGATTTTCAAATTAGAAGTTGTAAATTTGAAACATTTTAAAAATACAAAATGTTCCCTCCCTCCTGTCTGGAGCAGTTACTATAGATAAATTGTTGCAAAAAATTAAAAAAGAAACGGAAAAATTAAAATTAATTTCCATGATTATTGTTAAGTTTTGCTTGTTTGTATTTTTTTAGGTCTTAAAGATTGAAAATATCTTTTTATTATATATTAATATTTACTTAACAGTTTAAATTGTTTAACATGAAAACTTATTTATATTAATGATTTAGGCTAATAAGTCATAGTCAAGCAAATACTGATATAAAATTTCAGAATTTTCCAGAAGTCTATAAATTCATTGAAAGAATAGGGTTCACTACTTCTTCCTATTGATAAAATACTTTTTTATATAGCCTCCTCTGCATTAAAACAGGGAATCTTATATTTAAAGTATGTTTTCCAAGGAACTTTAAAATATTTTCATTTTATCCTAGTAAATTAAATGAACATATATTGTACAACTTCTGGATTTAATGTTTTTAGCTACTTATAAAATCTTAATCATTCATCATGTCACTTTATTGTTATACTTTCATTGTGTTATAAACATGTGTATGGAAGAACAAACAAAACAACAGTACCTCTGTTGAGGTGAAAAGAAAAGAAGACAAAAATTGTAAATATAAAATTCTTTTGTATATTGCCGATACAGTGGATGCGAGTGGAATGTCTCTATGTGGACGAGGTATAGCTTTAAAGGAAGAGTAAAGTTAGTAAGGGCTGGAATTGATGGATTTAGCTGGCCAGTTGACCGAGATCATGGTGGTGATGTTGAGAGAGACCTGGAGTGGATTAGTGAAACTGCAAATCTGACTTTGCCAATACAAAGGGTGTGAGTAGAATGTCTCTGTGTCGGCATAGTGTTGGTGTTTGGAGGAGGGTGGGTCTTGAGTGGATATGTGTGTCGGGTTGGTTGACCATAGTCACAGTGGTAAGAGCTTGCTGGTAGTTTTTGAGGGGATTTGTTTTGTGTGGCAGATGTGATGTTTGAAGCTCCTCTGCAGAAGACTTTGGGTCTTGCTTTCTTAGCCCTCACATTTGACTGACATGTAGAGTGAATGAGAAAGAGATCTAATTTACAGTGGAGTATAACAATTGTATGTTCTATTGCCTAATCAAGCAATAAGTAAACAGGATACTATAATTAATCCATAAGTTCTTCAGACTAATGTTCTTATCTTTGTTGATACTATAATATTCAGATAAGCCATGGTAGCTCAGTGATAAATGCTGTTTTCCATTTGGGGGATTCTGGGTTTGAATCCAAATGTAGTTTCTATGAAATTCATAATAAGTTTAAAAAAATAAATAAAGTCTTTGATTTAGGTGGTCTTAAGGTTTTTCTTTTTTAATAAATAAAATCCTACTTTTCATTCCTTTACATCTTACTATTTTCATTTTCAGATTTTGCTTTTATGTTTGTTATTATTTTATGGTTTAAATGAAACTCTATTATTAGGCTAAAATTGTTTGTCTGCATGTAATTATATTATACATTCTGCAGATGATGAGTCACTTCAACAAAATGATTGCAGCAATTATACCAATGCATAAATCTTATATTTGACATTAACTGAAATTTCCATGGATAACATTAACATTTATTAATTGCACTAATGGCTTTTATCATTAACATTCACAAGCTAATCTTAATAATCAAAAAGGAAATCTTTGAAAATTGTTTGGAAATTACAAATATTTTTCAACTAAATTTTCAGTAAAATCTCAATACTGAACAAATATTGGCCTGGAAATGACTATTATAGGAATCTAATTATTATTATTATTTTTAATATGTATGCATGCTTTTAATAATACTTGATTGCTTCAAACAAGTTTAAAGCACATTAGCATCTTGATTATCAAGTAAAAGAATTATGTACAATTATATGTTATATATATATATATATTAAGAAATATACATGATACCTTACATGGATTGCATAACTTGAAGTTTCATGCTGAAGCAATTATCAATAATCAAAGAAAGTTTTACTTACCTTACTAACTAATTAATATGAAAAGAAAGCAGTTATATCATTGGCATTATTAAAAAGTATTGCATTATCATACAATACAATTATTGAATTTTTAATGTTTGATTTTGTCGTTCTCTGTTTTCAATGACCTAAGAGTAAAACAATAGAGCATTGGTATAGTTAGGATTTGTTTTTGCTTCACTAAATATGAGGAAAAAATTCTCAGAATGAATGAGTCTATTTTGTATTCTTCAAAAATAATTTGTCTAATCAAAACAAAATCTTTGACAATAGAAAATGATGAAATCAAATTCAGTGCACATTTTTTGACCATATAAAAATCAATATTTTACTCTTGGCTTTTTTTCAATTGTGATATATCATATTGATATGTTTTTAGTACTTTACACACCAAACTGACTGAGTTTATATTGTGTTTTCAAAAGTGTTTTCTTGGTAGAATGTAAGCGAAATGGTTTCTTTTTTTTGTCAGTTCCTACCATTGAAGTATATAACCCTCAAAAGAAAAAGAAAAAACTAAATTGTATTTTCATTTTTATACTCAGCATGTTTTTTTTTTTTTTTCTTTAAATTTGTTATTAGACCCCATCACAAAATGAAATTCTATATCTAACTCTTAACCCTGACTAACAAAATATCAATTGACTATGATTCTAAAAATTTTGTCAGGTGGAATCGAATTAAAAAATCTCTACAATGTTATACCTTACATTGCTAATTTTTTTACTTATTTTACATTTGATAAAATAGCTTATCCTTCAGCTAAAGCTGCAAAAATCTGATGACTTGCCTAACCTAGAATCTAACTAAAAAGAAATATAAAACTGATTGTTTGGGAAGAAAGTTTTAAAAAACATATAAGACTGACCATTCATGAAAAAAGTTTGAAATGATTTCATTTTTCCTAAATAAAATTACAGTTAGTCCACTAGAAAAAGAAAACTTGATTGTTTTTTTTTTGTTTTTGTAGGCTTTTCTATTTTAAAATTATGGATATCAGCCTTTGATGAGAACTAATGTCAAAACTCTGTTAAATGTCTATGAAAAGAAATTTGCTAAAATATAATTTTGTAAATTATGAATTATTATTTTACAAGATTTTAACTATTTATTTGTTATAAAGCATTAAAGGGCTTTTAAATGAATGATTTAAATATTATCTGAAGAAAGTTGAAAATCATGATACTGCATAACTCTATGGAAAATAAAAGATTTTCAAAATAACTGATAATCTGTTCAGATTTTATATGTTAACTACAGAAAAGTTTAGTGTTACTTTTGAAAATAAGATTTTTGCATTTATGTTTATTAATAAAGATAAAAGGAAAACTTATCTTAGTTGACATATTTTGTGCTTTGAGAGACTTTATCAAGGCAAATGCAAGGATTTTATTTTGTCACAAGTATTTATATGCAATTTATGTTTATATCATTTTGGTAGCTGGGTTGTTTCCTATTAGTGATAACTTGGAAGAGTGAACTTAATTAGAAAATAATGAATAACTAGTATAAAGATTATTTGTAAACAAACATATGCTTAAGAACAAATATATTAGGTTGAAAAAAAAAAGAAGTTCAAAGTGTGTTTTAAGTGAATTTCAAAGACAGTATTGAAATATTTGTATATAGATTTATTCAACTACTTATTTTCCAATTTGTTTCACTAACTTTCACTATCTCTGAGTTAGCTTTGATTCCATCCTCCCAGAATTTAGTATCTTTCTGGGTAATGAACCTTTCTAAGTGGTTTTCATATGTTTCCAGACAATTGAAATTCCTCCTATTAAGAGGATTTTGTAGGGATCAAAATAAGGTGCAAGCTCAGGTGAGTACAGTGGGTGTTGTATGACATCCCAGCCAAGCAGTACCAATTTCTACTGGGTCTGCAAAAAAACGTGAGGACTGGCATTGTCCTTATGGAAGATGACACCCTTCTAATTGACCAATTTTTATCAATTGCTGCCTTTTAATTGGTTCATTTGAGAATATTACTTGTCTGAATTCGATATCTGATTTTGAAGGAGGAGCTTGTAATACACAATGACCTTTCAATCCTAACAAATCTTTGGAGGCAGTTTGGCTTTTAGAATGGCCTTTGCTCAAGACATTTTTTGCTTTACATTCTTTTTAACAATATAATGATGAAAAAACTGGATTGTTTATAATAATCTATTTTTCATCATCTGAGATTGTTCTTTTCAAAAATGTTTTTTTTTTTTTTTTGTTTGAACAGTGAATTACAGGTGTATGTCCATTAAATGTGGCCCATTAAATTTGTTTTCCATTAAATCATGAGGCACTGAGATATTGTAGTGATTCACATATTAAAGTCTTTTAAAATGCCTTACAACACTCATATAAAATATGTAGAGTATCTCTGCAATGTTTCTTGTCATGTGACATGGATTATTTTTAATCAGCATTTCAATTTGATGACCATTAATGACTGCAGGCCTGCTGGATCATTCTTGGTCTTCTAGATGGGAATTTCCACTTCTGAACCTAGTGATTCATGAACAGTACACTCAGCTATGCTACCATCTCCATGAAAGGCACATATCTTTTTTGCAGTTTGTTCAGCATCTTCCTTTTGGAAATAAAAGAGCATAAAAATAAAGAAAATGCATTTCATTTTTCTCTATTTTAACTTTTAACATAAAGACATTTCAAATTCACAATTATCGCCTTTCAGAATATGTATGTATGTCATAAATTTGTCACATGTGCAACGAAATTACATGTTCAAATGCCTCCTACTGAAAGACACTATAAACTTTTGTTTCAACTCATTAAAACATTGGAAGAGGCCTGGAATGCCAAGAAAAACACTTTATGTTATCTACTAGTGATGATAGCAAAATAAGAAGTTCTTCCAAGAGAAGTAAAACAGGAAGAAAAAAAGTAAATGAAAAATGAAATTCTTGGTTAAATGAAAAAGAGACATCCTCTAATGTCAAGAAATGGCATAGAATATCAGATATTAAACAAAAAATTTGAAGTGCTGGCAAACAAAAGATGAATATCTCAACGAGAAGTGTGCAGAGATAAAAAAAAATGGCTGGTATACGTAAAAAGTTAAAAAAAAAAAAATAAAACAGCAGGACAGAAAACCTGCTCTTCAGCAAGATGCAATATATTGGAAAGCTCTTCCATGACAAGAAGAAGGAGAGAAGCTGACAAAACATAAAAATATGGAAGGATCTGTAGTATTAAGCTGAAGAGGAACAAAGTAGCAGGACCTGATAAGATTGTAACTGAAATGCTGACAGCCTTAGATATTTCAGGATTGATAAGGTTACCAAAATAATAAATGAAATATATGACAATGGTGAAATACTGCAGGACCGCAGGTCAGTTTTCATGGTACTACCAAAAAAATCAGGAGCAAATAAATACAAACTTCATTGGACAATACGCTTGATGAGTCACATAACTAAACTAATCATTAGGATTCTAATGAATAGCATGTGTAGCAGAATTAAAATAGAAATAGGGAAAGAATTTTGTGGCTTTGACCAAGACACTGAAACAAGAAACGTAGGATCAGAAGGCTATTAGAGCAAGTAATACAAGTGCAGAAAGATTTATACCTATGTTTCTTAGATAACACAAAGACATTTGATAAGATACAACATGAAGAGTTGTTTGAAATATTAGAACACTGAATTGCATTGGAAAAATATTAAGAGTAATAATCTGTAAACCTCTATTGGAAATAAAGAGCTTGCATGTACATAGAAAATAAAGGATGTTGAACTTATATGTAATAGCTAATTTCCTATATGACAATCAATGCACAGTTGAAGAAGTGACTTATAGTGACAGATGTAGTTCTATTGATCAATGCTGAGAATACCATAGACAGATCCTGTGAGCAACAAAGAAGTTTTAAGGAGAATAGAAACTGCAAAGAAACTTCTAAGAAAAGAGACAGTTGAAATGTTTGGGTCACATAATGAGGAAAGAAGACTTGGTTAATTTAAAACACCCAGGATTTGTTGAAGGCAAAAAAAAATGTTGGGGGGTGGGGAAACAGTGAATAACTTACTTGAATGAATGGATTACAGAAGGAGTCAAAAGCGAGATTGTAAAAGAGAAAGAGTTATCCAGATCAACAAAAGACAGGAAATTGTGAAGAGCCATGATTGCCCACATCTTGAAAGGACATGGCATATGAAAGATAAAGTGTCTGTTAAAAGTAAATGTTAAATGTTAATTGTGGTTGAAAGTTTAAAGGAAACTCATATTTTTCTCCATTGTTTTTTTTATCTGACATTTTTATTGTCACTTTCACTTATAATTTTTTGTTATTTTATGATTCATTATTTCATTATCATATTGTATTGATAACATAAAATTAATGTTGTTCATATTTATATTTGTTAATGCACAAAACTAATTTATTTATAAATTTTCAAATATCACTTAATTATGGCGGAATAATTCTTTTTCAGTCATTTTAGACATATATACAGAGTCTCTTTTACAAAGTCAGTTAACATCTGTCTATATTTTTAGATAAGATATTGTGACTATTTACACTATTCGGACTTTTGTCCTCATCTTTATTGCTACATTCATGACATTTCAGCCATTGTACGCCCCAACCTTAACCAGAAGAAGGTGAGAGCATACAACATCTGAAATATTGAAAATGTGTCAATAAAAATGAGAACAACAGTCTGAACAATTTAAATAGTGTAAAGTCAGTTAATTAGTTAATAATGGAATCCAAATCCATATCCACTATGAATATTGTTTGCTTACAACATTTTCAGATTTGTTTTGCATCATTCTCACCTTTTGTTTATTAACCAAATATTTACCAAATATGTTCTTCAGTTTTCTCCTTCTAAATGTTACAACTTATCTCAAGTTCTACTAATCACATACTTATAAATAATATATTTTATTATTATTTGTTTAGTTGCTCACATAGAAAGCTGTTTGATGGACATCTTAAAAATATAACAGCAGTTATTATTATTATTATTATTATTGCATATTTTTACTTTTTTCTATATTTTCTTTGTTTAGGTACTGCCACGCAGGATCTGACCTCAGCTACTTGGTTTATTGCAATGATGGTTGCAATTGCCCTGCTCATCCTTATTTTGATTATTGTGTGTATTGCAAAGAGAAATCGAGAAGCTAAGTATGATGGTGAGTAACATTTTTTGAAGACATGCCTATATGGTCATTACTGTTCATTGGTGTGTGTGTGAGGGGGTGGGGTGGATCCTGTATGAAAATGCCATTTCTTTTTCATTTAATGTATAACATTTAATTCATTTTGTGTATATTAAATTTGTGGCTGACAAATGCCATGCAACACATTGTTAATTATCCAATAAAGATATCCACCCCCAAAAATAATAATAATAATAAATAATGTCATTGTTGCAAAGCCATCACATGATAATAAATATTAATTAAATACTATTTGTAAGAGGTATTTTTCATTCTGTTTGTAAGGCACAAAAACTCTAAAGTCACCTCGTCAATTTTCCTTTAAAAAGAAAACATATTTAACACTGTCATGCTGGGAAAACCTGGCCGTAGACAATAAAAGACGTCATAATAAAACTGATGAGCTTATAATTTGAAATTCGTTATTTTTTTAAATGATGAAAAAAAAAATTTTTTTTGCCTATTTTATCATTTCACCCCAAGCAAAGCAATAAAGCCACTAAGCTGCAAAGGGTAACTGAGTATGAAATAATGAGAAAAAGAAAACATTAATAAGTGGGAACAATAAAAGAACAAGGATTAAGAAGCCGGAAGGTAACAATTGACATTGCATTTAAATTTTTGGAGATCGAAATTAACTGGGAAGCAATAGGCCAAAAGAGAGTTCGCAAGTAAGAACTGTTAGCATAAAACTTATGGATATATCTAGTCATTTCAACTGTAAAATAATAAGACTTAGCTGCCAATCTAGTTTTGTACCTAAATCTGTGAATTTGAAATACCAATGAGGAAAGCTCATCAGAACAATTAACATGAAAGTATTTATAGAATAGGTATGAGAAAGCTATATTATGTCAGTGGGAAAGTGACTGAAGCTAGATCAAGACTGATTATGTTGCAGATTCTTCTTTGGCTTCTGTCAAGAATCTCTAGATATCTAGCAGAATCATCAGACCAGATATATTTGATGTATGGAAAACATGAGATCAAGAAAGCATAGTGAGTTTCTCACTTGGAGGTTACCATCAACTGCTTTAAAAATGGATTTTATAAAAAGTTTAGCATATTTTATAGAAAGCCATTAAACCAGGGTGTTTTTTTTTTTTTTTTTTTTAAATTATTATCTTCTTTTTCTTTCCAGTACAAGAAGAAGAACGATTACGTGGACATGATCCTTATGGTAATGATGACCATTTCAATGACAGTAAGAAGTAAGTACATTACAAGATTGTTATTTTTGATTTCATTTACTCTCCCTGGATATGCTTAATGCAATCCTTTGCTTGTATTTATATACATATATATATATTTATATTTATATACATATACATATTTCCTTGCTTCAAGTTCCTTATTTCCTATTTACATTTTGTGCTATATTAATTATTGAAAAAAAAAAAACAAATTACTTCAGAAAAAATAGTGAGGTGTATGTTTGTGAGGTTAAGTAATACGCTAAATCTGTTTCTCAACCTTTTTAAGCAGCGGCACACCTGGGACAAATGAAAATATCATGGCACACTTAGCAAAATTTTTAAGGGGTATACATTTAAATGTTATGAAATAAAACAATAGATTTAAAAAAAATACACCCACACAAATATGAACTTACTTTATTTCAATGTCTCTATTCAATTATTTTTGCAGCTTATTTAATAAAATACTAATGCTGTACCATTACTACTTCCACACACCTACAGTCAATGACAAAATTATTTGTATACCCATCAATTTTGAATATTTTTATCCATTTCGCAGAAACTAATGCCCATATGCCAGGTTTTTTATATGTTAATAAGCACAAAAAAGAAATAAAACTCAATTTTCAGAACAATAGTTTAAATACAAAAAATTCGACATGTGAATTATGCAAAATAGAAAAAGACAAAATTATTTGTATAGTAGAAAATATCATTTTAAATTGATTGATTTGTGTAAGTATAAGTAATTTACATAATTATTTTATTGGTGAAGCCTTCTAGACAATTTATTCAGTAGAATATTTGTGATAATTCCAAATTAATTTCTTTGCTATTGGCCTTTTTTTCTAGGTTATTTATAGACTATTTGAGCAGTTTCCATAGCTTTCATCTAATACCTCTTAAAATTGTCTGACAATATTAAGTAAATGTTTTTTAAAATTAATAAATAAAAACTGATTTGTTAGAATACTTGGGTAGATTGCTTGTGAAAATACATTGTATACAAAACTTTTTTCTTTAAAAACCTACTTCATAAATCTGCATGTTTTTCTGAAAACAAATTTATCGAAATTTATTCTTGAATAAAATTCATATACTAATGCTGTAAGCATATACACTCACCATGTTTTTTCTGAAGTTATTGCTTTAATGTATATGTTTAATATTAATAGAAAATTTATTGTCTTTGCTTGCTTTTGGTCTTTTTTTCTAGGTTATTTATAGACTATTTGTAATTTTTTTCTTCTATACTTAATTACTTCAGTGATCAGTACTGTTGTAAACTATTCAAGTATTAGTAATATTTTTGGTTAAGTACATCATAAAGCTACAAGTGTGAGACACTCAGTGTGGATCAAAATGTGAGGGCCATAAATAAGATTATAAACTACATTATTCTCAAGTTCTCTTCTTTCTCTCTCTCTCTTTCCCTCTCTGTCTGTTTCTTTCTCAATAGAAAAAGAAATATTTGGTGATGCATACTGAGAAAGTCATATTAGATCTTCAAATATTTTTTCAAATTTGACTTTTAAGTAAATATTGAATAAAGAATTTTTACAGCCTTTATAACAAAAATACATTTTTGTAGGGTATATTGAATAAATGTGTAAAATGTATTTGTTTCTATAAAGTTGTATTATCGATTCTCAAATAAAATCATCAGATATAAGGATTTATTAAGCTTTGTAATACAATTTGATTATCACATAGTCATTTGCAATCTGGTTTGAAATATGGTGCTAATAGCTAGCATGTGCCAATTTTGACACCAACTCCAGATCTTTCAATAATTTTTACATAGCAAGAAGAATTTATATTTCTTGTCATGTAACTGTGTTTAGTTATAAAATGTAGTTCTCTACTTCAGTTAAAATTATTAAAAAGAAAAATTATCTGAGATTTTTAGGTGAATTGTATCTTACACATTTTTTTAAAAAACGAAACAAAAAGAAACAATCTGTTGAAAATTGCTACTAGGAGTCTGCATAAATAATTTAGGACAACAGAAGTATCCCCAGACTGAAACAACAGATTCCGAAGTAAACAAAACAAGGTAAATTCCACCTGAAGGAAGCCACAGAAGGGACTAGCAAAATTGTTATTAAAAAAATGGCCATGAAGACAAGGATATTTATAAAATTAAAAAGACATTGACTAGTGATTAACTTTTCTTTATTATACCTGTTCTTTATTAGAGTTTCACTTTATTTATAGAATTCACTTCCTTAAACTTCTAACGTGTACTAATTTACAGGTTGAATAATGTGGTTAGCTATTGAAAGAGCTATTGGGATCAGTAAAATCTCCATTATTTCCACTCATATCCCAATGATAGGCAGCAAGAATTCTTTCAAACATATTTGTTTAAATAATATCGACAAGTTCTGTCTATTGAATATTTTATTAACTTTTGCAAATTTCTGAATAGGTTGTTTTATGTAATTAGTAAATTTGCCAAACTTCATATTTTTATTTTATCCCCACACCTTAGTATTTTCAAATGTTGCAACATTCATTTTCAAGTATTGTATTTTGTGTATGTTTATGTAACCAAAATTAACCAAAAGCAGTTGCATAAACATACACAAAACAAAATACTTGAAAATGAATGTAGCAAATTGAAAATGAATGTAGCAACATTTGAAGAAACGATGGGGAAATAAAATAAAAATATAGACTTTGGTAAATTTAAATTTGGAAATTTGAAAACATTAATAAGAAATTGGATAGACAAAACTTGTTTATATATATATATATATATATATATATATATATATATATATATATATATATATAATAATGAAGTTAATGGTCAGAGTTGAATTAGACCAAAAAAGAGTAGTATTAATAAAGTGCTCAATACACATAAAAAAGATAAAAATATAACATGTAGAGCGTTTAAGTATATATATATATATATATATATAGTGTGTGTGGATTATCTACAAATATAGTTCTTTGAATAAAACAAATACACTTCCTTTTCAATATGTCTTCAATTTGAAGAATTTTAGACTTCCTAGCCTAGGAGAAATTCTTAGGCAATGCAGGAGAGTTCACTTCTGTGTTAAATAATGTCATAGTCTTTACAAGTAAAATAGTTTGTGCAGACTTAATGCATACATAACAACACTAATACACTCATTAAACCAATAAAAATGTTAAGTGAAATCTTTTAGCAAAGATTTTATATAAGTGAAAATTTAATATCAGTGACAGTTTTTGAGAAGTGAAACCTAATGTTCAGTATTTGTTTTAAATGCTTTTGATTATTTTTAAAGTCAGTTTGCGGATCAAAGATAATATGGCAATGATGACATTAACTGTTTCCTTATAAAGAAACATTCAGCATTCATTAACAGGAGAGTTAGCATTACTGATGGTTAAAATTTATAAGATCTTTCTCGTAAAACAGTTTTTCAGGAAAATAGCCTTCTCAAGTTCACTATTATCAACTCTTTCTAGTATTGATGGAAGTTTCATTAAATTTAGGATAGTGTGGAATCTTTAAACTTATATCCAAAAGATTATTTAGAAACTTTTATCAAAAATTTAGTAATTTTTAAGGTTTTTATTTTATTAACCAATCTGTTGTATTTATATTTATTTTAATTTTTATTTATTTATTATATATTAGTGAATATATAGTCTAAACACATTGAATGTGTCTGATAATTTAAATGAGTAAAATGTTTATTAAAAATTAAAATCGATCTTTTTTAGTTACTCACATATATATTATTTTAGTGTCTATGTATCTTATTTACAAAACAGAGTGGAAGATAGGAAAATTTTGGGACCAAGATTATATAATCCTATATAATATTTTTTATTTTTTTATATAATATTCTTTAGGAAGTTCTTATATTTTTTGTAGCTGTTCTGGATATTTTTTAATACTATCAAAAAAAAAAATTCAAATAATCACAAATAAATGGCAACAAAAATTAAGAGATTGACTTATTTTCCAAAATGAGAATGGCTCTGTTTTTATTATAGTTTTTAAAGAGCAGCACTGTTAGCATATAAAAGTTACACTGCCTACTTAAATACAACATAGCTATTTTTAGTAGCCTCCTCTATTAGTTTTCACTTTTGCTGTTATATTGGATATTTATCTTTATGTACATTATTTACATTGTTTGGACTGTTGTCCTCATTTTTATTGCTATATTCACAAAAAAGTGAATATGGCAATAAAGATGGGACAACAGTCTGAACAATGTAAATAATTACATACCTCTTCTCAGAAATATTCACAGATATGTTTATCTTTGTGGTTATTTATTTTCTATCTTGCTGAAAAAGTCTAAATTATTAATTACTTTAAATTAACTTTTTCTGGTATAATTAACTGAAGTGAGGGCAACTCCATATTTTTAAAGAAAGTGAAAGAAAAATCATAATAAAAAATGCATCTTTTTTTATCAAATTCTTGTGTTTTAGTCTTGAAAAAGGATAAACTTTAAACATGATTAATCTGTACTTTCTAATTTTTTTCTTGCAAAAATGTTTAAAATTTCAAATAGTAACCAGTTTCAGGATTTTTTATTTATTTGAAAAGGAAATGATTTCCATCATGTTTTCTGATCTAGATTTCTAAATAACTTTTTGCCTGTCAGATTTCTAGCCTTATTCTAAGTCAGTTTTATGTTATAAATTAGCAACCTTATATAATCATATCACTAATCTATTTAAAAACAAAAGATGCCATTTAATGAGGATTTAGTTAAAATTATATATATATGTCAAATTATGACAGGCAAACAGTTGATATAGAAATGCTTGTAGATTAAAAAGAATCTTTTGAAAAAGTTAATATTTTGAATGTGCCGCCTAATAGGAATATCTTAAAAATTCTTGACAGTATTAATATCTTTCCAGTTTTGGAGAAAACTTGAAACATCTACTAACATTGCTAAGAAAAGAGTAGAAACTTCATCTGAAATTATTCCAAGATTAGCTAAATCCTTCAGAGGTGAATATTGGCTGTGAAATGAATAGAGATCTTGTTTCCGAATTCCTACCCTTACAAAAATGTCTTTTTTTATATTTGTTACATTAATGCTGTCAAAATTTTAAAAAAGTTATTTCATTATGACATATTCAAATTATTAACCAAACAAAATTAAAACAATTCTTTTTCTCATTGTATCTTTTTTTTTCTCCTCTTTTGTGCTCACAGAAAAAAAAGGTAAACAAAATCTTGAAAAAATTTTCTTCACTTTTTCTCTTCTATAAGTGTGCTGTGTGTGTGTGTGTGTTTAATATATCACCTTTTTGGTGCATGAATAACACAAGTTTATTTGATAAGGGTTTATCATGTACACACATTTTCTTACTTTGGTAAAATATGTAAGAATGTAATTTGTTTTGTAGTAAAAAAAGAGCAACATTAAGTTATTTTGTTTGCAAGTTTTCAAAGTTTTATGCAAGAAAAATGATGCACTTTAAATGTCCTGAATTATTGGGGTTTTGATGTGTGTTTTGACTTTTGTAACCTATATTGAGTTTTAAGCTTTCCAACCAGATATAATGTTTGAAACTGGTTATTTAATTTGAACAGCTGGTATTAACCCATTGTATTCAAGAAGTGTCAATATTAAAAATGCAAAAGTTTAGAACAGGTTTGATTATGTAATTCCATCTCAATCAGTTTTTTTTTTACTTAAGACATATGAGGAAACTAAAACTGATGGGATTTTTTGTGGGTTTAGTCTCTAATCCACACTACTATATTTTTCTACCTAATTCATACTTCTTCAGTACAATGTAATGGTTTTTAATTGTATGATTTGGTTTTGTTATCAATATTGAGATGACTGCACTGATAACATATGAGACAGTCTTTCAAATGATTTGGTTTTAAATCAGTCCTATAACTAGCTCAATAATTTAATTTAATAAATAACAATGAATGATTATTGCAAAATGTTTTTGGAAATTAATTATTCTTAATTTAATATTAAAACGACCTGTTCTTTAAAGTTAACACAAAAAATCATTTGTGAATGTAATTGTTCTAAAACTGAATATTACTCCATCCAGATTTTTGAATGAAGCATTTTTACATTGAGGAAATATTTGCAAATACCAAGCAGAATTTATTAAAAAATATCTATTGTCAATATTACTTTAATTTGTGAGATTAATATGCCTAAGATTAAAACTTGCTTAAAATAATAATTAGAATTTAATAATTTAGAAAATATTAATATTTATAAATAATTATTAATTTCTTTCTACTTTACAAAATCCATTTTGTTATAAACATTAGCATCTGATATGTATATTCTTACATTATATTTCATAGAATTTCCCCCATTTTAGATTTTAGCTAATTTAATGAAAACTGACAAATTAAAAGTAATGTTACTCCTCAGAGAAAAAGAAAAAAAGCAAATGTCTGTGGAAAAATTACTAAAGAAGTTATGATATCATTCATAATGATTTTCCTAATCAAGAAAAAAGACTTCCAGCTATTTGTCTTGGAACCAGATTAAACTATATACATAGTCCACCAAAAAATGTATACACACTTCAGGAAAGGAAAAACTTGCCTTTCATAGTTTTATCAAATTGTGATTACACTATTTACTGTAGTATGATACTTTCTTAAACAGATAGCATTTCCTTCATGGCTGTATCATCAACAAGTGATGTTTACAACATGGTAGATGTATGTTTGTTGTTTCAGGAATGTAAGATTATTTTAAAAAGGTGCAATTGAATTCCCCCTATGTAATTCTGCAGACTTTCACCTATAGGGGACCACAAAGGATGTTGTGTATCACAGAAAACTGACTACACTGAAGGCTCTTAGACAAGAAATTGAAAATGCATGTGCAGCAATCTCACTGGACACTTTGGCCAGTGTTGCCCAAGCAGTAGTTTGCCATACTAATAAATGTCTGGAAGCCAAAGGCCACTATATTGAGCATCTCTTGTGATTGTAGAGTCTAATGGTAAACTTGTATGAATATTGTGATGTCGAAATAAATTTAGTATTACATTATCTATACAAGTTTTTCCTTTCTTGAAGAGAGTATACATTTTTTGGGGTGGACTCTGTATGTCTTAAAGTAATAGCATTGCAAATAAATTTCAGCTTGCAATTCTTTCTTATTAGCTAACCATGTTAAATTTAAGCTGTAATGATTGAAGTTTATCAATTTTATATATCAGTCAGGTTCACTTTTTGTTTCTATACTTATACACTTTTATACAATACATGGCGGATGTGCAGGTGGTGTAATGGATAAGCAGCTCTGAATAAGAACTTGAAAAGCCAAGTTCATATTCCAGTTAGGTTCACTACATTCACCTATGCACAAATAACCTTGGGAAAGTTATGAATTCATATCCTCTCTCCATCTATGAGCTAAAGAGTAAGACATATTGTTATTCTTAAAAAAAATTGTTAATGCAATATATGTTTGTCAAAAAAAAAGATTTAATCTTAAAACCCAACATATGTTTTGGCTTTAAATAACCTGCAAAGTGTTGAGAAGCCATAAAAAAAAATCAACCAATGATACATGACAAAAGCTTTCTAGTTTTTAAGGTATAGATAAAATATAGAAAATATATAAAAATATATACACTTTTCAGAGAAAAATGAGAGCATTGCATGTATTTTACTTTGTTACTTTTGTTTAAATCTTCTATTGGTACCTTATTGCATGAGTATCATAAAGATTGTTGAAAACTAAAGAACTTTTAAAATTCTAGAGAAAATCTTGATGAGTCAAATTTTAGAAATAAGTTCTTTGCATTAATATTGAATGTTGGTCTTTTATCTTGTTATTTATCAAAATAATATGGAAAAATATCAGTGATTTTCAAAGGGTATTTAAACAGTTACCTTATTTAGAATATAATTTCTAATATTTACAGTGTACTTAAATTTAGCTTTTGATATTTTATTTGATATAGCTATAAACCGTTAATATTCTTGGGTATATATATATATATATATATATATATATATATATAAAACTTTACAGTATATCTTTCATTCATTTTGGTTCAAAGTTGTCCCTTTTTTTAATCCTCACCAAGCATGATATGTGTACTGTGCATTTGAATGATGTCATCATGGTTTTTTCTTCTGCTTCTCCCCAAATATATTTTCATTCATTGCATCCTTTCCATGTATTTTTCTCATTAAAGTTATTAGTGTGTTAAAGGCAAACGTACCACAATGTTTCATATCTCTTTTTTTCTGCTAATTATTTGGCTCTTAATTATTACATAATTTAACTTTATTTCTCACACATTTATTGAATTTGAACAAATTTCATATATTGTATTCATGTTGTACACATTTGATGTTAAATTATATTCTTTATTTATATTTAATAGAAAATCACAATATGTTATAAATTTACTCAGTTTTGTGCAATCTACACTCATTATTACACTATTACATAATAACTGAATAATATTTTTATGGCTAACTCTGTTTGTCTGACGATCGCTAAAGCGTGAAACCCAGGGTCACAAACTCACATCTATCCAACCAAATATGTTAGCTCTATCTCTGATATTGAGCGCTTTCTAATAAGTACCGCGCATATAATATATAAATAATTATACATATATATATTTATTTATATTTATATACACTTTTCACATATATATATATATATATATATATATAAAATGAGCATGCATATTTTTGGGGGTGGATGGGGGATAGGTCTCCCTGTCTTTGTCAATTTCACCCTAAAGGAAAAAAAAAAAGGGAATATTTCTACTGACTACTGTTGAGTCTTTTATTTATTAATTACATTCATAATGTTCTTTTAGTATGATTATCTTCTGTCAGTAGTCTGCAGTTGAAATTAAATTCAAGGCAACTAATTTGTAAGTTGACAGTCCTTTTAAAATAGTTTTTCACAACTGTTTTCATATCAAACCAAGAAAATAAAGTCATTTGGAAACTTACAACTTATTTAGGAGAAAGGAAGGTAGACTGTTATACCAGCAGTTAACAACGTTCTTTATGATTCTTCATATTATCATATTGTGCTTGATGCATATCTCTTTCACATTTTATTATCTTGTAACAATGATTAAAATCCTTAAAAGTATATGTGAGATGTGATTTTCTTCTTACAAAATAAATGTATTAAAAGTCCTCTTTCTTTAAAAATAATTTTATAGTTCAAACTGATCTCTTGTTAAAAATATTCATTGCTACATAACCTGAATATTGTATTAATGAATTATTTCATAATTATAGGAAAAATATCAGATATATTTTTTTTAATTAATTTGAAGATTGTTTTCAAATGATTCCATGTCTTATTGTATTCATCATAATAAATATTATTATTTTCCTCTTACAGTGATGAAAATGGTGTTGGTAAGCCTGGAGCATTAGTCAATGGTGATAAAACAAGTGGAGTAAGCGATTCTGATAGTCTTGGAGACTATGGAGATGTCGATCCAAGTAAATTCAATGAAGATGGATCTTTCATTGGACAATATGGTCCCTCAGATAAGAAAGATGTATCTGAGACTGCTGCTCCATCAGCAATGTCCACATTTGTTTAGAAGTAGTTCACAAATGCAATGCTTGATGACTACAATATCTGAGGAGAAGGAAAAGAAAACATTAAGAAAGACCAAAGAAGTACAGCTACAATGATGACTAGGAAGTGATTCCTAAAAGAATCCTTTTGGGGTTTCACTTAAGCCCCATTATGGTTTTTTATTTTATATTTTTATTTATTTTGTTTATTTTTATTTATTTTTATTTTTTTCACTTGAGCTGCACTGGTTCATCAAATATGGGGCACAAAACGTGACCTCGCCAGCTGCTGAATACAATTGCAAAAAATTAGAAGAAAAAAAAAATATTAAAAAGAAAAGAACAATGAAAGATTCAGTGCCCTAAATGAGACCTCTCCTCTACACATACTACACAAATTTGCATACATATACACAATACTTTACTTAACCTCTCTCCCTTTCCTTATTTCGTTCTCACTCACTTTCTCTTCACTAAATCAAAATCACAATTTGTCCAGTAAAAAAAAAAAAAATAACATGGGTGTTTTCTAAGCGTTTATGAAACATAGATGCTGTATCAGTGAATATTTATCTAAGCCCCAGAAAAAAAGCTTAGAAAAGATTAAAAAATCTAATCTTGTTCCTATAATGAATACATTCCTTAATTATTATTTTTTTTGCAATAGTTGCAGCAGTAATGATAATTCTATTAGTTATAGGTCTTATAATTCATTACCAATATTTTTTTTTTTAATTAAATGAAAAATGTAAAGAAAGGAGCAAAAATTCAATGACTGCAAAATAATGTATTCCTGTTATTGTGTGCATTTTATGTGATTAAAAGCAAAAATCTAATTTGTTAAAAATTTAATTGTTTATAGATTCTCTTTAGTAAGTTCCATCTTTGTATGCATTGTATACCGTTAGGTACATTATTCAGCAAGTATTGGGTTAGGTTTTGTAGTTCTGTTGGTAAATGCATTGCTTTTTAACCAACTGACTCAAATATGTGAGAAATTGGGCAAGTCTTTTACATCCCATGCCCAGTGTATACAATTTTCTACTTTTCAAACTCACATTACCCAATTAGTTTGAATTTCTGTGTTCATTAAACATTGTGTATAAAAGTAAAAATCTTGAATATTTATTGAAGAACGATTGTCAAGTCTCAGTGAGTGATTGAAAAATTATGAAACCTTGACCTTTGATAAGCATTGAATATTTTTATTTCTAATTTAATATCACTCTAGTCTAATATTGAGCACTTTATTAGCAGAAATTCTTTTAAACTGGATATATGTTAAATTATATCATTTTATGTATATCATTTGCTAGTATTAGTAGCTAGCATTTTTATTTCATTTATATATATATATATATATATATATATATATATATATATGACATGTATACGTAGGCATACAAATATATTTTTTCAATAGTTGTCTATTTTCTAAAATTGTTATGTTCTATGTTATATTTTCAGTGCATTAACTCATTTTTATGCACTTTGTTATTGCAAGCAAAATAAGTATGTATATTATATATCTGTTTATGCACATAAATCAGCTGCATATGCCCATTGTATATACATATTGTCACAATTGCCAGATTGGCTTTTTTTAATTTAAAAAAAAAAAAAAATCTAAGTATTAGTCAAATGGGCTATATTTTGTGGATTCTTGTTCTTTGATTGATGAGTTCATTTTCATAGTTTGATTTATTTAATATAAAGTATGTCTTGAAATTGTTTGCTTAGCTCTGATTTTGAGCTTAATATCTTTAATGGTTCTCCTCATACCTGACAGTTACACAGTAAATTTATTTTTAATATCTTAATTGCTCAAATAGTATAAATGGTTACAAAGAGAAACTAAATGTTGGCTTTATTCAGTACAAATATTGTCTGAAATAAAATTTCATAGTATGATAATGTTCAATTTTTTTTAAAAAGGAATGACTTATGATGCTGAAAGCTTATCAGAAAAAGGTTGCAAGTTTAAATAGAACAATTTAATTTTTTTTTAATAAATTCATTTACTTCATAAGGGATATCAGGCAAATGTCATAAAAAGAACGCAAAATTGTGTTTTTGTTTATTTGCCAAACTAATATTAAAAGCATTTCTTTCTTACTGTGATCATATACAGAATTTTTTTTTTTTTTTATTTAACTTTATTCTCACATCTCATTAATGTCTTGAGAAATAAGTTGCCTCCCTTGTTCATGCAGTTGCCTCCCTTGTTTCTTTTTTTTTCCCTTCACGTGTTGTTGACATGTTTATGCTCGAATACTTATTGCTTCTTTCATTTTTTTTTCATTTTTCAAATTCTGTGATGCCAAGTTTAAATAATACTTCAGTTGACAATCTGGATTATTAAAATTAAAATGACAATTACTACTACTGCTGCTACTATTCTAGTAATATAGAAACTTGATCTACTACTATAGTAATCAAAATACATGTATAAAATCTCTTATTTATAAGCATGTATATTTCTTGATAAGCACAATAACTTTGTTTCACTTCTAAAAATCTGATTAACCGTTTATAGGTATATAAATGAATATGCTTCATGTCACTCACACATTCTTGTTTCAACTTATATTTAAAAAAATAAAATAAACAATGAATGTGTAAGCTTTATTCAATGCAATTTGACTACTGCCCAAAAGAGGTTTGGACATTTCTTTTATAGTTGAATAATTCGAGGGGGAGAAAATTATGGTTTCATTCATGACAGTATATAAGTGATTGTGTATATGTATGCATAAATACAGATATATAAATATTTTAAAATTTTGTTAATTTTTCAATTTTAAATTAATAATAATAATAATAATAATAAAAACCCAAAAAACTATTCCTTGTAGGAAAACAAATTAAAACACATCTGTTGGGGAGGGGGGTAGAAAGAGAGAAAGGAAAAAAAAGAGCATAATATTTCAAGAACTTTGTGTTAAAATTTTTTTTTCTTTTATCAATTTGCAACCCAACTCCTCACCACCCTCTCAAATATATGGAAAAAAAAAGAAAAATGAAAAAGAAAAGAAAACAAATAAGAAAACTGACTTGCATTGTTTAATGCTGGAAATTTATTTGTCCTGCTTATGTTAGAAAATTGATTGAGTATAGATAACGTTGCATTCAGCGCTGTTGCAGCTAACAATTGCCACTGTATTCGCTACTACCCATAGCATCACATCACTCTGCCACTACCACGAACACTACCACCACCAATTATTATTTTTATTATTATTATTACTACTACTACTACAGTTTCACTTCATTCCAGCAAAATAATTTGGAAGGAATGGATGTTTTAATTTTTTCATACTTTTATAAATTTTTTTTCTTTTTTTCCTTCATGGACAGGATTTTGAAGGGAATTCAAGCAAGCTCATTTCTTGGCATCTAATTTAATCTAATTTTTTTTTCCTTAATCTTTAAAGAAGGTAAATTAAAAATGATTTATAATAAATTTTGATAGCACTATTTCCAAAGGTGATTATTTTAGTGTGTGTTTATGTAAACCCCCCCCCCCACACACTTAACAGGGTCCTGTAATAAAATAATTAACTACAAAAAAAAAATGGGTATAGCTTGCAGACTTCCCCTTTTGACTACAGTCTGGTCATAATCATTTATCTTTATTATTCTTTCTTGCTTGAATACCACTGCCACCACAATCAAAAACAATTTTTTTTTTGAATTCCAGATATAAACTGCTTGCCAACTTTTCAGATCTCTTTCTATGTGTCTCAATTTCTCATGTACAAGCGCCAAAGAACATGTCTTGTAAATAGATCTTATCAGTTGTAAGTGAGTTTTTATTGGAATTGTTTTGTTTTTTTCTAAGTTGATATTGACTGAAAGAACACTTGTCTTTTCTCTCATTTGCAGACACTTTGGACTCAAAGTCTATGTGTATTCCCCCTTTTTGCCTTCTATGATCGGCATAACTAAACCAAGAATTCATCTTGTTAATACATTGTTTTTCCTTAAATTATTTCATTTTCATTCTTCCAGTTTTTAACTTTTCCTTATTCCGTTTATAATTATTTTAAATGCAAAAGTTTAATTAATTTTTCTCAAGTTATGACATTTGGAAAATTTGAAAGATGTTGGTTCCTTTCTTAATAAGAAATACATACAGGCAAAAAAAAAAAGGTGTGGTATACAATGCTGTTTTACGTATCACTGATCTCTTTTTATAACATCCTGAACCTTAAATTTATACCTATAGTTCATGAAAATATATGTTTCATGCACTTACTACATAGATGCTTTGAAATCCAATTTTACATTTTTTTAAGTATCCTTTATATGAAATTTAAATAAAAATTTTCATCAACTCATATCAACTATTACTAGTCTACACTTTCCATAAAAAATGACAATTAGAAAGTTTTAATACTGAGATGCAAATTAAACAAAAGTTTTGAAACAATAGATTCAGATTCAATAAAACGGAGATCAAAAATAAACAACTAAAATAGACGAATGACTAAGGGAAGTAACCATTCATAAATTTACTACCTTAAGTTGATTTACCTCCCTTCCCATTATAGTTCGTGACAGATTGATATAAAATATAAATGAATAAATACGCAACGGTAATTATTTATAGTGTTGATTAAAATACTTAATTGCACATATAAAATTTTAGTAAGGTTACAATAATGACTTAAGTTGAAATTCCCATACAATGATAAGTTATTAGTTGATTTTGGTCATACATTTTTTTTTAAATGTTTCTAAATGTGTCACCAAAGGCAACTTATCAAAATTATCATGAAGATGTCAAAAAAAAGAATTTAACTATTCAATATATTTTAGATTGATTTTACTGCTATTTGGAGACAAAAAAAGGAAATGAATAATATTAATTATTATTAAATTAATTTAATATAAAATTAAAGGAAGATTAATTTAATATAAAATTAAAGCAAGTCATGTACAGTTCATCCGTAATATGAGTAAAACAATTCTCTCTCTCTCTCTCTCTCCATATATATATATATATATATATATATATATA